ATGAGGAGCTGATGCCAGGGGCTTAAGTGGAGAGGAAATGTTTTGAGAATGATGAGGGCAATGAATGTACAAATGTGCTTTACACAATGATGTATGTATGGATTGTGATAAGAGTTGTATGAGCCCCTAATAAAATGATTTTTTTTTAAGTTATATTCTCAGAAACCCTGTCCTGTGGGGTCACTATGAGTTGGTATCAACTCATTATGTGGAGCAATGGAATACAATAAAGAGTCTAGGCAGAAATGACAGTCTTTGGACCGTAAGTAGGACACCTGGCTTAGTAGGCGGTCCAATGAAGGGGACCCAGAACCACCATATATTTATTATCTCAATTCTCCCCTTGCATTAACATGACAGGTATTAATCTGATAGGCAAGGATCTGCCCTTGTAATGAATGTTACAGGTAGTTTTCCCCTAGCATCAACCCTCATGCTCAATGTGAACAGAGCTCATTCAATTAAGAAATCAATCTGTGCAAAGCAACAACTCATGGATTGCAGCTCGTAAATGGACTGTATTCGCATAAACTCCTCAAACCAACAGTACCTTAAATTCTATACCATGGGATAAATTATTGATGTTATCAATGTAATCGCCTTATGCCCCAGGGGGGTGATTAACAATGTTTTTCTTTTTTGTTTGCTTTGTTTGTTGTTGTTGTTGTTGTTGTTGTTTTGGGGGGTTGTTTAGTTTCTGTTGTTCTTGTTGGTTTTTCTTTTTCTTTTCTGACTGCTAAAGTAAACCAGAGTCGTTCATAACCTGTGGACAAGCAGATGGATTCTGGGCTCCCATTTAATTCTAGCCCCAATCCAAGAAGAGTTAGTTCTTATAGCATGGCCCTCCTCGATACTCACCCTCATGAAGAATCACTGAAGACAAAAGTGTGGTGAAGAAAGAAAATGGTGCCCTGCTATCAATTGTTAGTGTCTGGGGTCTTAAAAGCTTATGTTCAAACAAGCAGCCATCTAGGTAAGGCATCAACTAAGTCCCCACGGAAGAAGCACACTAGCTCCTGTTATCCAAAGATGACGATAACAAAATCCAAATATATGAAAAGTATCAGGGCTTAAATTGTGAACACACAATTTGTAGAAAGCAATGGAGGACAGCGGGAGCCCAAAATCCATCAGCAGAGTCTCTAGTCAGAGTAAGCCTCTGGGAGAGTCCATCTGCTCACAGACAAGGGACT